ACCGATAGGGGGCCGATTATATCGTGCATCCCTAATTTTCAACATCTGTACCCTCCCTTTATGATCAACCCAGAGTCATATATGCTGTACCATAGTAAGTACAAAGCCATTTATCTGCTGTGTTGTTACTGACGGTACTGTATTTTTTTCAATATGGAACCATTTTATTTCTGGACCATTATTACCTATTCAATTCTTGGTTAACATTTTGAATTCAAAAGATAAATTTCCATCAACTAAATTTCAGGAGAACGTGTCTTATGGCAAAACGCACTACTTGCGTCCCATACTACAAGCTTTGATTAGTATAAACACGCGGGGTAGTGAATGTTAATGTTCAAAGAATTTTCCTTTATCTTTTTTCTGTACTCCTGAGCTTCTACAGTGGCGAAGTAAGCTGTTTAGTAAAACGTTTTAATGATTTTGTCCGCCCCACTTGCTAAATATGCACTGCATGTTTCAGGACAAACCCATATACAGTAGGGGTGAACCTGGCTGCTTTATCTAGGGATTCGGACCTTTTACCTTTTATTTTTGACAAAAAGATGAGTTTGATTTTGTCACAGTGTCTCTCTTCCAGTCTCTCTCATGACATTCCCGCCAAATTGCTGCTTAGCTCTGATGAAAATAGACCATTGATTTACTTCTCTCAGATCTACAAAAGCACAGTTTTAGAAAACTGTGTGTAGGCCGTTTACTATGTCTTCTTCCCCCTTTCTCAGCCCTGTTTCCTATCAGCCTATTTTCAAATATAGGTTACTAGTGCATCTTTGAAGATAAACAAATCCACACATATTTGTATCAAGGATCCTTATGGTAAATATAAAATGACCAAGTCATATTATTCATAGTGTTTACTGGACAGGTCAATCGGGTAACGTTTTTGGTAATTAATCCCCCAAAAATTAAACTTTTTTTTTTTCTGTTGATAGTATACTAGATTTCTTGACTTGACATTGTGACAATTCCAGATCCCTTTTGAAAAGGAGATATCAGATCTTATTGAGGTTTTATCTGGTTGGATAAAGACTGGATTTTGTCCTGGAAACTTGAACTAAAAGTAAATAACCATGAATTCCTCCCAGTGTAACCAAAAGCTTTTAAAATGTCTCTTATAGGATATTACCCTCACATTATGGAGACTTATTTATTATCAGTAAACAACTGAGCGCATGACCAAATGTTCTAGCAAAGGTTACAACACTACCAGTAAGATCAAATTTCTTTCTTGCATCCAGCTGTAAATGTTACTGCGCAGCAAAAAGCAGTTATAGCTGTAGTCCTACTAGCTCCTGGCGTCACTATTAAGTGGCTAAATTCTTGTTATCTTGCTCTTTAACTGACTTTTTCTGTGTCATTAAATCAATGGTAAATCTGTGCTTATCATCAAAGAGTCATGTAAAGGTTGGCCCTGGTAATAGGCAAGCTGTCATGGAAACCTCACCACTCTGGATGATTATCACAGACAGATATAGTCCTGTCTGAAACGCTCTCATGTTACCAATAGATCTCTGTTTCAGATTCCAAAAGCTGGGGCAGCTGAAGTGCTGGCCTTAAGTCAGTTCATGTGAAATACACTTTCCATTCATGATTTATTACACATACAGTAAGTAACTCATGATCGACTTTGTTCTTTTAAAATCAGGAATAAAAACTTAAAATAAAATAGGGGGGACTTAATTTTTTTGTACATAGTAGGGGGCTTGAGAGAAGGATTTCAGTCATACTGGTTTCACTTCAAGTAGACAGGTGGAGAGAAAACAGCATTGGTCGGAAAAGTAAAACAATAAAAGAAAGTCAATCCTACTGAATCCAAGGGTAAGACCAAGCAGAGAGCATCTCAGATTTGCCCAATAAGGTATGGAATGCAAAGACACCTCGGCCGTGTGATTCGAAAAAAGCAAAGTGACTTAGAGGGAGTGGGAGGTTGGTTCTGCTCTGTCTGCCAACAAGATAATAACGAGCTCCTCTGGCAAGATAATTCTTAGAACATGTTTTACATCTAAGGCTGCAGAGATGTTGCATCAGGAACACATCAAAAATGTAGCTTGAATTTAGGATGAAACAGAAAGTGAGAGCAATAATGGTTTTGAAATCCTATTTTAGTAGAAACAGTGTGTGTAGGCATGTGGGGTGGGGTGGGGTGATGCTTGTAAGAGAGAGAAAGAAAAATACCAAATATCATGAGAAAATTCCAACTGGAAATATTATTCTTATAATATTTTCAATAATTTATGCAAGGCAACAATAAAGCCTTGAATCACTGTATATGCACAAAGAATACTTTAACAGGGCTCAGAATAACCTTTCTGTAAAAAAATGACCAAGGAAACAAATGGCTTTGGCTCCATCTAGTGGATAAAGGGTTAAACTAATCTTTTGTTCACATGATGGTTTAAAGCTAAGAGCTAAATAAAGACTTCCATTCACCTCCATGCCATCAGCATCAGAGACGTGGTATCTTTGCCGGATCTTTGTAGTGTATGATACCTGTGGTGCATCTTCGAACGGATTCTGATTTTCATCGTTCCACCTTCTCTCACCAACTGCAAAAAAATAAAACCAAACAAATAAAATTAAGATCAACATTCTGTTTTGTGCTGTGGAGGTCTTCGGCCATCTTTCTTAGAGAAAAACAGTTATACAAATTCATATGTTTTAATTCAGAGTTAGAAAAGGAACAAATCTACAACAATCAAAATCATAGGTGACACCACAGTACTGTATATCTTGTAAGTTTTGATTGACAAGCACCATGTAGTGTTTACATCACTACAGTGTGAAAGAAACCTACAAGAGGTTTATTCATCAATTGTCTTTTGCTAATTCACGATTGAGTCTAAGGCATTCAGAGAAGCCGCTATATCCTCTCTCCCAGACAAAAGGGAGGCCCATAGGAAGCGTCCTTATCAGATGCCCAACTAAACTCACCCAGCCCTTTTCTGTGAGGAAGAGCAATAGTTTATCTCTTAGCTCCCCTCAGATGACGTTCCTCATCTTATCTCATAGATTGATAATTTCGGTGATGGAGCTTCTGGGGCCTCGTGGTGAGGCTTATCTCAGCCCTTTGTATCCAGGATCATGTTCTATGATCAATATCTCACCAACATAGGTGAGAGTCAGAATGTGGATTGACAGGTTCATCAAAAACTTCACATTTTTGCTTTCTCTTTACCGTGACAGAATGGTACAGCAGAAAAAGCTCCAAATTATTCCCTCTAACATGATATTTGCTGTTAGATAGAAATTTAAGTGACCACATGGTATTCATATGCAGATTGGAGGGGAAGTATGAGACGTGTGCTTAATTAGGATGTAGTCCATTTGTATTGCATATCTTGGGTCATAATGAGCTGGCCTAACTAAATCTCCAAAAAGCAGCCTCAATGAATTTTACACACCAAATGTATTTGGTTTGAAATAACTTGCCATTCACCACCACTCGTGTAAATGCCAGAATTTTTCCCTCTTCACATTCAGAAAGACTGCATTTTTTCAGGAGATACTATTCTGTTATTTTTACAGGAAAGACTCTGTTCTATTTATTTATATGCTGTTATGTTTTTGTTTTGGTTCATTATGACCAAGGCAACAGGAGGGTTAAAACAAATCCATTATAGTAAACCCCCTTTACAGCTCACATCCAATCAAATGAGTTATTATATGTCTACTAAGAATAGAAGAGCACCATTCAGAAAATAGCTGTAAAAACATACAAGGTGAAAGTGGTAGAATTTGCATGTTAACAAGATGGCATGAAAAGCATACTTTGAACTGATAGATGATTTAGATTTAAAAACAGCTCTGTATTAAGATAATTTCATAATCCTATGTAGATTAAATCAAAGACACAATTTATTGAGCAATAGAAATACAACATGAATCCATAATTTCAAAGCAGCAGCAATGATGAATGCCAATGCAATAACAGCAGCTTCAATCTTGGCTTCTGTTCAGATAAGAGATGAACTGCAGATGAAGAATTCTTAATTTTGAAGTGTCTTTTAAAAACCATGAAAGACAAATTACCAAGACATTTAGAGATGCTTGGAGATGGCAACACGGTATTTGCAGCAAAGGTCCATGAATGCTATGATTCAACTTCCGGTTATCTCTACATTCATTTACCATGTCACCAAATGCTCTTAAGGTTTCAATCAGCAGTCAGCAAATAAAGGTGTGCAGATCAGGACCAGTTCATCACAAGATAATAGTCGATTTAAAAGAAAGTAATATAAATACTGATAATTTATTCTCTAATCTTGTTCCCTATGTATTTGTAATACGATCACATCATTCCATCTTCCCTAAATCTCTGTGACTCTGGCTATTATTAAAGAACAGTGAAGTCAAAGAAATAACAAATATAAAATGCTTACCTTCAAAGAAGCTGTAGGTTTGAGGCAAAGCATACAATCCAGATGCAGACAAATTTGTCAGGTTTGGAGACTCTGCAACACTCTCTAACCCATTGTTAATGTTCCCCTCCTAGATAGGTATGGAAATACAGTAATAGTAAATATAATTATAAACCAAATCAATGAATTAAAAAATTGAAAAATAAAAGCAGCAAAAAAGCTCAAAAGGGATTTCTGATTACTTTGTCTATTTGACGCCAGCTTAGAGTAGCCTCAGATGTTTCTTTGGACTCAAGCAGGCCACTCTGATCTCCAGAGTCATCTGCAAAGCCTCTTCTCAGACACAGCCTGTTTCCTTGAGGGTTTTCTTCCTTGTTCTCTCTGTCTTGATAAGACAGGCTATAGCTCATCTGAGCCTCTTTTAGCTCTGTTAGTGTCACACCCTGCAAGATATTCAAACAGCTTTGTGTCTATCAGCAGTCAAACACAATCTATTAAGGCCAGATCTTGCAAATAAATGTCGGCAGCTAGTTTATACCTGCGTTGACCTGCGAGTTTGCCTGGCATGACGGGACTTTGCCTTCCTCTGCGATTCAGCTTCTTCGTCCTTGACCGGAGCTAGATAAGACCTGAAAAACAGGTTGGTAGATGTTTATTTAAAAATTACATGAGAAGAAATCTGGCCTCTCTGAGGTTTTAAAAGTAGCACTAGAATGTGTAATGAAAAGCAATGAGTCGGTCAATGAGGTTGAAAACACCCAATCATTTCATATGGGGAAATTACATTTCTTGTATCAGGTCAATATTTCGTTTAAGTTTTGCTTACAAAATACAGTATTCCTTCAAAAAATAGTGTATTGTTGTACTTTATATAATTTATATTATTTACACCTTGCACTCAATTTTATGTCTGAATAAAACATATAAATACCATACAGTATATATTTCTTTCTATTCCATTCCATTTTTCATACTTTCCCATATTTTCACATGGCTTAGTAGCTATCAAAATTCTTATTTTTGCATGAAAACCACAACGGTTATTTCTACATTTAGAGGCTACTTTAAAGTTTTACCTTGATCACCTGTTCTAGGTTTATACAATATCAGATTCTCTTCATTAATGCAAGCACATTATGAACCATTGCATTCAGGCACAAATAAAAAGCTGAAAAAGCACAAGCTGTGGCTGTATTTTACCCACTTAGCAGTTAGCTCCCCCACTGTTAGACTTTTACTGCTATTGATCTAATAGTTCTAGCACCACCATGAACAAGAGAAGCTTTCTAAAACTGCTGTCTGGAGCACATTCTGTTTTAAAAAGAAAAAAGATCTGGATATGGATAGAATAACTGTGCACAGGTTCAAGGCTTAATATCAACATGAAAAAGCTAAGTAGTCAGAATATGGAAATCTTAGATATTGTAATTATAAGAGTTAAAACCATGTCTCAGATTTTTTCCTAATACAGAAAACTGTTTCTCTTAAGTTTCATATTCAGTAGAAATCAAAGATGCAGCAGTGAGCTTTAAGTCAGCAGTTCTTAACCCCTATACAGAGCTGTAAATAGCAGAGTTACTGCAGGAAGATGATTAATTTGACACAGCAAAGCTTTGCTAGAATGTTTTTGGGCCTCTTAGAAGTCTGACTGTTAGAATATGCATATAATAATTCTGGAATGAAACAGTATCACTCAGGCTTTCTGAAACATACCTGGAAACAAAAGCTTGCATGGCTCCTGTAGAAAGTCAGAGACTAAGGCACAAAGATGGTGTAGCATCGATGAGAGGGAGAGGCTGGAGAAAATGACTCTGCAGCAGACAACAGAAGAGGGAGAGAAAGGGAGAGAGAGGCTTCCTGTCTGGATGATGCATACACAATCAATTAAGAGTTTCTGTCAAAGAACAGCTGATACAAGCAAATCTACTTCAAAGTGCAAGCAGTAGGACGTATCTGTACAAGGAGTCTCCAGGGATTTAGCTAAAAAAAAAAAGGACTAAAAAAAGAAGTGAGGCTTATGGCAGAAAGATATTTTATAATTATTTGGAGCACAATATTTTATTGAGATTATGCTGCTGAATATTGTCCATATTTTATAAATTGTATTGAATATTGTCCATATATATATATATATATATATATATATATATATATATATATATATATATATATATATATATATATATATATATAGTGGGGGGTCACTGTCTCCAGTGCTCCAGTGATCACAGATACTACAGTTTCCTTCCAGGCTCTCTGTACAGTAGTTCTTCTCTGAGACCTTGGTATTTTTTGCAATTTCTTAACTTTTTTTCCTGATGTTTCCATCATTTGGGAAGACCACATCAATCGCTACAGCTGTACTTTGTTGCTTATCAGTGGTCACAATTCTCCACCACCTTGACAGGTTGCTCTCTTTTTAACCTGGGGGTCTACAGGTTGTATGCACAGATGTTTCTGTACACTATACCAGCCACTTTGTTAAGACGTTCCATGTATTCCTATAGTGCCAGTATCTTACACCTTGCAGTGAGATGCTGAGTTGCTTCTGGGACCTCTTTGCAAAGCCTGCACCTGTGATCTTGCCTGCTATGGTAGATCTGGACCTATACTGCTATTGTGCTGAAAGCCTGCTCCTGTGCTGCCATGATCAGTGCTTCTGTGCTGTCCTTCAGCCTGGCTTCCTTCTTTGCGCTTAGTGTATAGTCTGGATTTAGGGTGGAAACTACCATGCTTGGTGAGTACAGTAGCTTCCATGTTTTGTCTATTACAGCTTCCCCATAAACCTGAGGGCATTTTATTCACCTAATCTGTTCTAATCTAAAATATTAGATTCCCTTAATCTAATCTTTTATAATATTTTGTCTTTTAATCATGCCACTGCATTTTTAATTCAATTTAAATGCATACCAATATAGAACCTTTAAATTTAGTTTATTATTTCATGAATAATAATTTTATCTTGCTTCCCATGGTTTGAGTTTACCTTTTCTTTTAGCTATTTGAAATGTAATATTATCTCAAACTCTCAGGCTTGTTCTTTGTTCTGTTTATCACAGAAAAGCGCAATCAATAATCTTTAGCTGCATATATGAGGCCATATTTTTTCTCAGATTAAACATACCTTTTAAACATAGCTTTTGAGCAGAAATTAAACATACTTATTTGGACCATAAAAGGGTGATGCTAAAATTAAAAGATAGGATTCAGGATTACATTAACATAGTGACCAAACTGCAAACTTAAAACTACATGATAATCTAATGACAGAACAGCACGACGTGGAGCATATAAAAGGAGTCGAAAAAGGGTTTATTTTAACAAGTGTTACCAAGAGACAACAAAAGTAACCATATTAAGGAAAAAAAAAAACAGCAAATTAAGACAGATAAAAAAAAAAACATAGTAACATGTTTTGCCCTTCTCACATTGGATGCAGCAGACAGTATCTGTCATGTGAGGATCACAGTATCAGTTGGCTTTTCCTGATGAGTAGTAAAGGTGTTTTTTATGAGGCTATAATTCCTATGTATTCAGCAGATCTGTGACACTTCTGAATCATTCAAAGTATCAGTTCTTGCTTTATATACCATTGCCAAGGACATAGCTTTAGTCAATGTCTAAGCTGCTCTACCTGACATTGTAAAACACCATGCAGCAGTGGATAGTTTACTCAAAACATTTGTTGCTGCTGTAATTTAACAGGCTTCACCTCTTTTAGCACTTCCCTTGTACAAGCTCATTTCCTAAATAAATCGTACCCTTTTGTAAACCTTGGGTTCCTATATTGTTCAGGTGTGCTTAATATTTAGCATCAAAACGTACTGTATCTACAGTTCAGCTGTTACAGGATCACCTCAGAAAAGAATGATTTGTCCCTGGATTGCTTGTTGTACAGTAGCAGCCATCCAAAATGGCACTTTCCAGTCAAACACCAGCCGAATGACAGCTCACTTCCCTCCAACTTCCAGCCACTGGAGTGACACCCTCCTGCAGATTTTTTTACTCCGATTCCACCCTTTCACTGAATTACAGGTTCTGACCAGGAGATGAAGCTTCTCTTTAGATCTTATTGTCAACAAATCATGATAGAAAGAATATTTTTGTACAAATATTGACATTTATCAAGGAACTGTACGGGACCAGGCAAGGGCCCATCAAGTAAATGTTGAATGGCTACTACTGTAACTCCAGGCTGCATAAAATAGGCCTCACTGAGAATAAACTCTGACATTATTAAATAAACTTTATTATACAAAGAACACTGAGGACATAGCTCAACCCTTTTATGACCTCCTTGAGGTTTTAAACTTAGAGCTAAGCATCTTTGTAATTAAAAAACATACTTTAGTGTTCTGATCTACTATTTGATTAGGTGGTTTCATTGAACTTGTATATTTCAAGCATTTATTTTAGTTAAGCTTTAGGATTAAGACATCAAATACAATTCCTGAAAACAATGCATATAACAGAAAAAAAAAAGTGTTTAAGACATAAATGTTAAGGTCATGTTGCAATCGTGGTAAAGAAGACTGCTGACTTGACATTTGTCCAGCAATTATATCCTTCACAAGGTAAATACATTGATGATACTGATGTCTGTAGGCCAGAAGGATAGAAAAATGTGGAAAATAAATGCTTGAAATAAAACTGTGAGTAATAAATCCACATCACAGTTGACTTTAACTTTATTAGGTCGAAGTTGAATTTGATAATTTTTTTCACACCAAATGGCTTAAAGTAACAGCTTCCTATGTTATTTGGTTAAATGTTGCGGAAAGACATGGTGGCAGAATTCATGAGTTTTTTGAATGTTTATGTTTCTGTGTGTGTGTATATATATATATATATATATATATATATATATAAATAAATATAAAAGGGTATTATGCATTAAGGCTTTCGATGTTTTAAATGAGATATAAACATGAGAAAACAAACTTCTGCCCTCTAAGTTTTAGGTTCACTTTAAAAATAAAGCCCAAAAAGTTAATTTTTGGTCTTTCCATCAAACATCATCCATCTTCAAACAGACAGGCGAAGAAAAAACAACAAAATGTGTTTTTCATGTTGTTGTCAGTCTGCAAAATTCCTGTTCTCCTTGGTGGACTTCTTCAGCATATTACAAAATAAAAATCATTCTCCATACCCTGCAGAAGAAACCAGAATATATAAGAAACATGTCAATCCATATAAAAAAGGGGCATTTTCTTTCTTTTTTTTCTTTTTTTTTTTACATTTTGGGACATTACAACAAAATGTTGGTTTATTAGGATATTAAATGGCAGACCAAAACAAAAATGATACAGAATTTTCTATATTTTCTGCATTTATACACCATATTCTCTAACATCTCTAGAGATTAAAGCTGATAAGTAAAAGATGTCTGGGGTTTGTTAGAGAGCAGAGAGAAACAGTATCAAGAAGCCCTTTGGATGAAATAATAACCGTCTAACCATTCTTAGAGTTATCCAACCTTTAGAGGGGTCACAGCAACCATGTGGAAGAAAATGCTCTGTTAATTCGAGATAAGAAAAAAACAACAACTAATGGCTCACATTTAAAATGTTTTTTTGAAAACTAACACTACCCGTCTCCTGGAGAAAACAGGGAAAGACTTGCTTTTCCCAAAGTCTTAATGTTTTTTAAGACTTGTAAATATTGATTCCAAACTCTAATTTTTTACAGTAGATAAAACCAAAGTGTTGCCAATATTCAAAAAATGATGGTATCATTGTCTTTATTATTTCAGAAGGCTTGTCTATTTCACTTTACACTCAGTTCTCTATTGGTCTGTCAGATACAATCCTAAATTTGACATCAAACATGACAAAATGTTGAAAAGCTTAAGCTATGCCACATAATTTTTCAAGTAATACAAATGAATTTTTGTAACATTCAAAAAAACATTTTCTTACTTGCTTCATTTATTTTCTACAACAGCAAATTCTTCTAATAACTCATCTTGCTCCCTCTCCTGTTGCTCTTCTTCAGTGTTCAGTTCCTGTTCTTCATCCATCATAACTTCATCAAACATTGGTGACCCTTCATTCTCCTCTATGGAATTTGAATCATCCCCCATGTTCTCTTTATGATCTTTTCTGCTTTCTGGCACAGGAAATGATTTTTCTTGGTCTGTTTCATTTAGTTCCTCTTCAGTAGGGCTTTCTTCCATCTCCCTTTCCTCCTGATTCACTAGAGATGCCTCTTGCTTATTTCCTGTTGCATAATCTTTCTGCTGAATAGATGCTGGTGGGTTTTCCTTTGAAGAGAGTTCCCATTCCTCTTCAGCTGCTGTAAGTACCTCTTCTTCAGTTTTCTCTTCATTTACCTCTTCAGGTCCTGCACCAAGTACCTCTTCCTCTTCTGCAGCCACAGCAGCTGCATGGTCTTCAGCTTCAGTCACATCAACCTCCTCTTGCTCCTCATGTTTTGCAGCCTCCTCCTCTTGCTCCTTGTGTTCTGCATCCTCTTCTTCTTGCTCCTCATGTTCTGCATCCTGTTCTTCTTGCTCTCCAGGTTCTGTAGCCTCCTTTTCTTGCTTTCTGGGTTCCTCAGCCTCTTCTTCTTGCTCTACGGGTTCTGCAGCATCCTCTTCTTGCTCTACTGGCTCCTCAGCCTCTTCTTCGTTCTCTCCAGGCTCTGTAGTTTCCTCCCCTTGCTCCTCACTCATGACAGCCTTGTCTACTTGCTCGTCTCCAACTACAACACTTTCTTCTTCCTCATTACCGCCTCCAGCCAACTCTTCTTCTTCACCTTCATCATCATCAGCTGCAGACAACCCTTTTTCTTCATAATCATTTGCCTCATCATCAGCCACCTCTTTTTCCTTACCAGCATCTGCCTCCATCTTTTCAAGTTTCTCAGCAGGAGGCTTTATTTTTTCTACCACCTAAGAAAAGGAATAACAGTTCACATCAGAGTCTGCACAGCATATATGCTTGTGTTTGCATCCTACCATCAAGCAGTGTCTGTCAATAAAACATGAATGTAGTGGCTCAGGTAGGGGGTATGTATATTTTCTGTGTAGTTTGAATGTGAAGAATTGCACTTACTTTGCTAAAACTAATGACATGAAATACTCATTAACATCTCCCTAAAGGCAGAGTGTACAGAAATAGTAAGGAGACCATGGAAGATATCTCAGTGTGAGTCAAGCTTGTTCTGGCATGACACACATAGTTAATCTGCTAAAATCATATGAATAGTTTGGTCTGTCAAATTAAATGCACCATATAAACAGCGAGATATCCATTTGAGATATACATATATAGTACAAAATGAGTGTCCCAAGTGTGACATAATTGTCTTCATTTTATATTTTTGCATTCAGCCCTCTAGTCACCTGCAGAACCATCTTTTGCTGCACTCAATTTTCTGATTTAATCAACAACATACATTAATATACATGGATGTAAATAAAATCTCACACTAAAAACAATTAGAAAAAGAAAACAACTTTCCACAGTTTTTGCATTTTTTTTCCCTTAACCTTGTGCAACCTTTTTACCTAAGCTGACCACCCAGGTATGCTGGGTCCCTACATAGCTTGCTGAGAATTGCAGCAGGATTATAGTTGTAGCTCAAAGTTTTTTTTTTCTTTATAAATCGACTAATAGTTGCAAATTCTCCCATGTGAGCTACACATCTGCAGCTTTTTCACAATTGTAAGTAACTTTCCCAGCCTGTCAGTCTGTTGGGTAATTCTGGATCGGTTTGCAGGTGAACCATATATTTTTCCTTTTCAAAAGATGAACTGAACATTCTTTAAGAAATTTTCAAAGGTTAGAATGTTGTTTTATAATCTAAGAATTATTTTTAACTCATTATATATTTCATTAAACTGTCTACTAAGTATCTTTGTCTATGATGGTGTTTGATGATCAATGTTTTCTTACACACTTCTGAGGAATTTACTGATAAAGGACACTTTTATTAACATTAAATGACATTTATATGAGCTCTGAAGGAGGATGTATTTTGAAGCCCTGCATCCCTTTGGTTATTATGCACCTCTTTGTTTTAGTTTAGCAAAGATCCCAATAGGACATGGAATTATGTGATTGTTATGTGACAAATAGGTGAGACATTTCAATGCATTATGAAAACTTTAACAGGCCAGTGTATCAATGTAAATGACTAACATTGATACAGGCAGGCAGGACCACAGGGGCACACTGGTTCAGGAAAGAATCTTGAGAATAATAATGATAATAATTAATCATTAACTTCATTGATCTGATATCTGATAAATTTACCTCTGCATTTTACCCATCTCCCTTTGGGGAGCAGTGGGTTGCCATTGTGTGGTGCCTGGAGAGCAATGTGGGGTTAAGGTCTTGCTCAGGAACCCAGAATGGCAGTCTGTGGGAGTGGGCCTTGAACTAAAAACCTCTGGATTCCAAGTGTAATGCTCTACCCACTAGGCCACCACAGAAAAGATAGCAGAATATCCACAGATGATTTTATATTCACACGGTAACATACTCTGCTTACCTGTTCCATTGTACTGGCCTTCAGGAACAGCTGGTGTCCTTTACTTTCAAGCAACTCCCTGAAAGATCCAAGAAACAAATTACTAGATTTTTTAACATCATTGGTTTGCTGAGTTTTTATAGTTATTCTAAGAAGACCTGTTCACTAGCTTTAATTACATATAGGGAAATATAAGAGTGTTGCTAGTGAAAGACATATTTGTTTCTGCAAAATGTCCAAAGCATTATGTTATGTTTACAAAACTACTCATTTAAAGTAGGGGATAAAGTTAAACTAGCAAATTAACTTCATAGCTTTTCAAGCACCGCGGAAGTGCTTGTACAGATCCGGGCAGCCTTTTATTTCGAATAAAAAGTCTATCAACACTAGACTAGAGAAACAAAGCAAACCAGACAGTTTGATAACAAAGAAGTCTATGACTAAGTCAACAAATAGACCTGAGTGAGAGGAAGCAAGTGCATTTATTAGGTGCAATAAAAGTTAAACTTCTTTTCGAAAACAATTACCGCAGATCAGTCGTTCCCAGTAAACTGTTCTCCAGCTTAGCTTCAAAGGTTTCCAGTTGATTCTTGAGTTTCAACACCTCGCTGGTCTGTCCATCCAATGTAGCACTCATTTTGGAAATCTGAACAATCCTTTTTTCCATCTTTGATTTAACTTTTGCGAGGTTCAAAGAAAAATCCTCAACCTTCTGAGAGAGTTCCACACTAAGAGAAGCCAAACCCTCCACCTGCATCTTGACATCTTCAAACTCCACACTCTTTCCCATCAACATGCTCTGCAAATGGCTCAGTTGCTCCAAAGACACAGTGGCTTGCTGCACCTCTGCCAGTCGTGTTTTCATCTCAGTGTGCAGAGACAGCACCTGAGCAGGGAGGTCGGATGTCTTAAGTTGCTCGGCCGTAGCCAAAGCCATTCCCACCTGTTTCTGAGCCAGGGCAAAAGACTCCTCTAGTGAAGCCAGTCGTGTTTCCAGGTTCTCTGGGGCATACTGCTGCAATTAAAGAAACAGGAGTTGGTAAATCTGGGTGTCAATACTTTTTTAAATCAAAATTGTGATTGCAAAGTCCACTAAACCACTAAAGGAAAGAGAATGTTGATAAAATAAGTGAAAGAAGGTTTAAGACAGATGCAACCATCAGACGTCTTGCATGTGATTTCGTATCACTAATTTTTTAACTATGTTAGATTTATCTTAAAAAATTACATATTATGCTATTAAAATATTTTTTTATAAAGTTTGATGGGCCCAACATTTTTTGACTATGCCCATGTTAATGCCAAAAGATTCTGCAATAGAAATAGTGTGTTGAAGTCAAGTGAGACGGAGCTCAGATCCTATTACTGTAGCTCTGTGATAGAGCTGAGACATTGCTTCCTCCCTGTTTTAGATTTCTCAGGTTAAAGCCAGAAGATAAACAACAACACAGCAAAAGGAAGATGGACATAGGTCAACCTTTTGAGCAATTGTGCCACTTTAAGGAGATGGAAGAAAACCCTACTGAAGAGAAAATAAATTGAAAAGACTGGGAAAAATCAGTTTCGGGCTCAGAAAGCAGAAAATATAAAGAGAACATGGTGGATGATTCAAAAGCCATAGAGGAGCATGAAGGGTCACCAATGGTTGATTAAGATATGATGGATGAAGAGCAGGAACTGACCACTGAAGAGGAGCAACAGGAGACGGGTTTGTTTTTCTCCAAAATAAATAAAGTAAGATAACAGGTTTTTGTGTTACAAAATTTTCTTCTAGAAAGGCAATTGAAATTTTTGTTTATAGCAGAACTAGCAGCAAGCTGGAAAACCGTATGGAATTAAAGTGGGCAGGTGAGACACTTTCTGGCCAGAAAGGGTTAAAATTGTAGTTAACACTTTTAAAATCATTTTTTTTCTATAAAGTGCAACTTCAGTGGTTTAGTCTGAATTTGTCATCATCATAGCTCCTCAGCACTTTCTTATGCATCTCTTTGAATGTCTCATTTTGTGCAGTTTTTAACATACAAACCTGTATTTACAATATTAAAAAACAAAGAAAGAATTATGCGAGTTGACATTTTCAACTACCTTTAGTACCCTATTTTGACCTTAAGCATCCTCTCTATGACCTTAGCATAGCAAATTTAGACAGTCCTCCAAGTAGAGCTAGTAAAATCCCACTTCAACACTGAAATATCCAATGTATTTCCACTATGTCCTGATCCACCATGTTCTATGAAAAGATTTAAACATGGTGAGTTTAATGCAGAATCTACAAGTTAAAAACAGACAAAATTTTTTTAAAAACAGCTGGTTCATATGGACCAGTTAAAAAATTGTTACCAAGAAATTTAGAGCCATTTAAAAATCAGTTCAGAAACCTGTGTGGTTTCTAAAATATCCCTATTTTCCCTATAGTGGCAACACACGTTGCTGAGCATACATAAAAGACTTACTACAGAGACTATGCCTCATATACTCTTCACCTAGCCGCCTTTACTGAAATACTTCAAGCAAGAGGAAATAGATTAGGGCTGCCATGACAAAACAGAATAGTTGACTCATGCTAACAGATTTTTATAGATGTATATACCCTGACATCCTGTTTCACTGCATTAATTCAAAGTATTGTATTCCCCAGCATTATATAAACTGTTATCCAGTCAGTCTGCACACAACTTTTCCAATAGAGCTTATTATCAAAGCTCTCTGCCTAAATACAGTGCTGGCAAATTACTTTATTATCATTATCAAGTTTGCACAGCACCACCTTTGCTCCAGTTCTGGATTTTGAGTTATTTTTAATACTTTACCACAAATATTTCTATGGAAAATCTCAATAATATAAGGATCTAAAAAACAGTCTACTGCAAGTTAACAGCAATGTTCTTATTGGCCTGGGAAAAAAATAAATTTGTTGCTGTGTTGATTTTGGAATGGCAATATTTAAAAACCTGATAAAGTCCTGCATATTGTAGGTTTCTTCATTTGCAGCTAGTGGGTTGTATATGGCTCAGGGCCTTTTTTTCTATTTTCAGAAACATTTATTTTAAACTGCAGAGCATTCACTAAATAGGTCATCATTAGGTGCATGTCTGATCTGGTTGGCTGACAGACTGAAGACATATATTGCATTTTTACCTTTGTATATGACAGCCTGAGCTCCTCATGAGAAGACTGCAGTTTGGCTATTTTCATCTGAATGCCCATGACATTGTCAGTTAGGTCGGTTAAAGTTAGGTGCTGTTGGAAAAAGAACCATGCACCGGTGAAGCAGCCGACCACAAAGACTAAAACAAACACCAGCAGGGGAGTGTGGTTGCTTCCACTTGGGCGAACTTCTGTTTCCAATATCTCACTTTTAAAAAAATTATCCTCCTGTTTGTGGTTGCTTTTCCCTTTTCGGTGTTTGGCTGTCATTCTTCCCTGTTTTAGTTGAAGACACGGTGTCCAAATCAGGCACAGAGGTGATCCAAAAAGGCTGCGCGTCAAAACGCCCGAACCGAGCCGCGGTGGGAGCGCAGATTTACTGACGCTATGAAAAGGACCTGATTAACCGCAGCGCAGAGAGGTTGGGTGAAGGGAGGCGCGACTAAAGGGTGTAATTCAGTCAGTTGTGTATGAGGAGGGGGCGTGAGGCCTGTGTGGCGCTGGGAGTGGCTGCTGTGACAGGCCACATGTGCTGCGCTATTTATGAGCACAGCTGAGGTTAGAGCGCAACGACCTGTGGAAGAAGGGATTTATTCTGTAGAGTATGCTAAAACACTGCACCACTAAACAATGAAAAGTCAGATATCTATTAGGTTTGACCTTCACACAGTGTAGTAACTTGAAGTGCTCAAGTTTTTAAAATTTGTACTCATGTAAAACATTTTCTCTCAACTCGAAATAAAAAGTAGATGGAGTAAAAGTACTCAAAGTACTTAAGATACAATAAATTGTGTAATTGAAAATAGTTACTACCAGAAGTGTCAAGTAACAAAGTAAAAATACTCTGTTACTGTACTTAAGTACACTTTTTAGGTATCTATAGGCTACTTTACACCATTACTTATTTTTCTTCCTACTTCTGACTTCTACACATAATTTTTTCACACAAGTATCTGTACTTTCTATTCCTTACATTTTAAAACAAATGTTACTCTTGGCTTCGGTTTAATGTTTATGAATATTTATTTCACATCATGTGCACCATCCAATGCAGATCATTGGCTCCATCCACATCTAGTAAAAACTAGTGTAATTGGATGAGTCATGTAACGCAAACACTCATTGGTTAGCTAAAGGAAATCATCAGAAGCAAGCAGGTGTTCTTCAAACTGCAAACATGAATTATATGCCTCAATGTCACTCAATGGCAGATTCAGAAAAAGATGTTGAAATGTCTGAAAGGTCAGACACAGGTAAGAGCGTATCGGGAGATGGAGACCAACAAGACCTCCCTCATCCTTGGCCCTATCTTAAAGAATTCTTCAAAAATAGTCAAAGAATTGAGCTTTCAATTCATATAATGGCATCTGGCTGTTTTTTTTTTTTTTTTTATGAAGGTTACTTTATACATTTATACTTTAAGTAGTTTTTGGAGCGCATACCTTTTCACTTTTACTTGAGTAAAGAGGTCAAGTTGATACGATCAACTTTTACCAGAGTGTTTTTAAACTGCAGTATCTATACTTCTACCTAAGTAACAAATGTGTGTACTTTTGACACCACTGGTCACTACCCACCCCTCATCTGCTATTTATTTCGTTTTTTTTTTTAAGGAAACACTTTTAAAAGTTCAATAAAGGGATCTGCCAAGTCCCATGGAAATTCTATAAATACATGATAAACATAATTAAAGTACCTGGTTTACAAAGTTCCTCACAGAAAATTAAAATGGTTGGTAGGCACATCTAAGTAGCTGGAAATCTCTACATCTGTAACAGTATGGGTGTTTTAGTTTAAGTGCCTTAATCTTTTTACATCCACTTATTAATACTGCCACTGTCTACATTCACATACAGCTGCACAGAAGCTCATGACAGATGTTGGTGTCAAGTGTTCACTTCATTCTTCCAAAAGACCTTGTACCGGTAGTATTTTAAGTAAACATTCTTAAGACTTTTGTGATTCTTTCAAAGCTTCCCTTTGTAATTTTTTATGTTTTCTAGTGTCACTTTGCCTTTTTTGGAGACCACTTAGCTCTTTGTGTCCAAAGAAAGTATTTTTACAATAACCAACCATTATTGTTAATTTAATCAATAACAACTATACAACATAGTATATTTTGTTGGTACAGACTGTTCTAAGGACCCAGGGACCAGTACCAGTGACAAGCATGTTACCCTGTAAAGAGATTAAGCTCCCAGCTTTTATGAAAAACATGTGTAGGTGGATGCTAAAAATGTGGAGGAAAGAAGGAAAACAGCACATCTGAGAATAATGTGGAAAGAGTGATGGGAAACATGCCATAAATATAAGATCTTGACAATTACAATGACAATATCTCTCATATACTGTCTCGTGAAGGTGAGGATGTTACCATTTTAGATCAAATTGTTACAGGATGTTGTTCATTTACCAACTTGTGTCCAACTACTGTGTATGTATGGGACAACTGCACCCAAAAACATACAAATGATTGAGTAGTTGTGCCAAAAGATCAATTAAATCCAATTTTATTTGAATTTGGTTGTCTTCAGTTATGAACTGTGGTACTCATATATGGCAGGGGTAACCAATCAAAAATCAGCGGGGTCCGAATAAAGAAAATCAACAACTAGTAAAGGTCCGGAGACATTTTTAGTACTTTAAACAGAATTTAAACATAATTTAACACTAACGCTTTTGTCAGTGAGCCCCAGGGCAGCTGTGGCTACAATTTAGCTTGCCACCATCAGTGTGTGAGTGTGTGTGTGAATGACTGAATGTAGTGTAAAGCGCTTTGGTCAAGTCTCTTGGCTTGAAAAAGCGCGATATAAGTACAGGCCATTTACCATTTTTTAAAATTAGTTTTGAATGCATCTATTTTATACGTTAAATTTTTAAATAATAAATATAAGAAAAAATATACTTTTTTTCCATTTTTAAATCTAAAGCTTTTTTTCCAAGTAGAGAACAACAGTTCAGTTTGGTATATAGATAATTTCCTGATTCAAATTTTTACAGAACACCGGAACGGACCGTTTCTTTGTTTTTGTTTTTTGTGGCTTAATGAGAGAAGTGGGCTTTACCATATTAACAGGAGAAGCGGTGCAAGTGAAGTTAGACAGTGTCGTCAGACATCATGCTATAATTTATAAATGTTTTAGATCAGGCAAATGGCATATGCTAACTCCTGGATCTATGTTCTTGGTAAGCTTCACCAAAAACTGGACCCTAGCTCAGTCTATCTCTGTAAATCTTCTAATTTTTACTCGTATTTTTAATGCTGATCTAACAATCATGTCATATCAATGAACGGTGGAACCCGTTGCAGATCAAAAGGTAAACGATGCCAACTACCAACCAACATGGTGCCTGCATCTGTAGAGGTCAATTATCTGAAAAAGGCAGATAGAGTGCTTATCAAAATTATCAGACCCTGTCCACAGTTTTCTAAAAACTCCCTAATTCAGCTTTAATATCCATCAAGCTATCCACCCATGCATCCGTCCGTCCATTCATCCGTCTGTCTGTTCTTCCGTCCATCCTTCCACGCTGTCTCTCTCCAGCAGTCTTTGGGCTAACGGCAGGGTATAACCTTTATAAGTCACCAGTCCATCAAAGGGCTGGTAAATCATCATAATTAATGCCTTCAAAGCAACAGTCTGTATGTAATCAATCTTTATCACTTGTTTTATTCAGTTTACTGAGAATAGTACTGAAATAAATTGACTTATAATTTTATATTATTTCAATTTACTGAATATGATGGTGCATCAGATGCAGAAGTACAGTAATATATTATTTTATGAGGTTTTCCTTTATCAGATAATTTGATATTTAATTTATACCTCTAGGAAAACTTATCATACTTAATATAGACTGTTTGTAATGCACTTCCAACATTAAATGATATATCAATGTTAAACTGATACAAAGCTCTTAAGGATGCACAAAGGTCAATGGAGACACATATCATCAAATTCTTCTTTAAAATAGATTCATTGAGATAAAATTATGAAAGACAATGAACTGAATCTATTTCTGTTTGAAAATCTTTATTTAAGAATAAGCTAATATTTTAATATTGAAAATGCTTGTTGATCTTCCTGTTTTTGACAGATGGTCTTTGAAAAGTGGTGTCTTCAGCTTCTTCACTCTGCTGAAAAAAACACAAAGGTATTTAGAAAAATATTCTCATGTAAGTTTAACTTTGAATGTACAGTAGGTATAAAACACCTACAGAGCCCTGTAAAAATGATACAATGCAGTGATATCAAAGGGAGGGGGATATCCAAAGGAAAAAGAAACACAAATTGTAGGAAAATAAAACCTTAAACAATGTAGCTGCAAAAAATGTGAACTTTTTTTTAAAACTGGGGATGTGGTAGTTCATATTTAACCACTACACTTAAAGCTGGATCTGTAAAGACGCGTCTTCATTTAAAGTTTTGGAATGAACTTAAGCTGTTCCAGTTGTTTATTCCCAAGAGGTCTCAGTCATATCTCAGGAGAAAAGCCATGGTCTGCAGTTTTCAATAAATTTAGAATATCTTATTGTCAAAGGTATTGGTGAGGATACGTTTTCAAAACATTTACCAAGGCATTAGTTAGGAATACACTAAATGTATTCTTTATCAATCAGGAAAACATATGGACCAACAGTAATATCCACAAGAACTGTATGTCCATCTACAATTAATGAAAGCATAAAAACAGAATTGGTAATAGAGGTTGCTAAAAAGCCTATGGTGAAATTTATTTAGCAGCAGAATTTCTTGGTAAGTCTTGTTATATTATTCATGTCTGAGCTATAGGGTACAGTTATAAGAGGCCTTTTCTGAAAAGAAAACATAACATTTTGAAAAACTCATTCTACAAAAACCACATGTAAAAAAGGTGTATTGTCTCACAATAAAACAGTTATACCTTGTGGCCACTATCCCAAAGGGACTGCTTGGCTTAAAACTGCTCATCCCTAAAATAAGACCATGCACTGTGATGTATAGTGGGGGAGCAGTCTGCGTCCTGAGACCGTCAAAACTATGGCCTCGTGAAATTAAAAGGAATTACAAAACAGCTAAGGTGGCAGAAAACATTCAGGTTTCATCTAAAAAGTTAAAAAGAAATTTAATCTGTAGTGTCATACCAAACCAAAGTACAGATATAGATAGAAAAAAAAAAGAATAGTTTTTTTCTTAGGGATATAGTTTAAAAATTGACTAGCCAGTCAATTTTTAAACAGACCTAACTCCAGTAAGAATCTTCATGTGGGATAGTGCTGGAGGAAGAACATAGCCTCCAAGTTCAGAGCATTTTTTAAAACAAATGGAGTACTGCATTAAAATCAATAAAGCATTAATTAAAAGGTTTGCATATTAATGTAACATTTTTCTAACAACTCCACCACCTTTGCAAAAAATATTTCATTTTGTTCTCAACTTAGTTTTGCAGGTAACAGGTCAGATCAAAACAGGAGGAAGATCTTAACAAAGCTTCACAAGCACTTGCCATTTTAACAGGGCTATTTGCACTTTTTATATCCAATGTAAGAGCGGCCTTGTTTTAGTCTTACCTTTAATACTGAGCACTGTGGAGCATTCAGCTCGTCCTAAGCTGTTTTCTGCAACAACGGTATACTCGCCTACATCTTTGGGACTAACATGAAGGATCAGCAAGGAGCAGACGCCACAGGTGTTGGAGATGTAATAGTTTGTATCTGTGTTTATATTGACGTGGCTTCGATACCACGTGATACGAGGGGCAGGGTTTCCCCTCACTGCACAGCTCATATAGCATTCATAGCCCAGTGTTGCAGTTTGAGGCTTTAAAAGTACAATGAAGGTAGGAGTGCATCGTAGGTCATAGTCCTTAGTTTTTGGTTTAGTTATCACAATTTTTTCTGCAAAGACATGAGACAGTGTTGTAATAAATGTAACTAGTTTGTATACTGAGATAACATAGGATACATGAACACACCTTTCTTTTTTTCGGTCCCCCAGATTGGGGATTCTGAGGGTGCTGATGTACCCATGTCATTTTTGGCGTAAACTCGAAAATGATACTCCCTTCCTTGCACAATGTTGCAAACTGTGAACCTGTTATTGAAGAGCCTATCAGCCACTGTGGTCCATGTGTGCTTAGTGGAGTCCAATTTGGAAACTGTGTAATGGAGACGATCATCACGCTTCTCATCAAGAGAAGGTTTCCAGATCACAGTCACCGTTCCAGGAACATTCTCCTCTAGTTCCACTGGTCCAGGAGGCTTTGGATCATCTAGTAACACAATTCATAGTTTCACCAACATAAGACAATTTAAAGAGATCCAAAACTTACAGATAACAATGATAGCTTTACCTGTTACTCTTACTTCCATACGAAAGGTTTCCTGTCCAACAATATTTTTCACCAAGACAGAGTAGATGCCTGTATCAGAGCGTTCGGAGGTGGGAATCAATAGCTGAGATGAGCCATCAGAGTTACTGACTGTAGCGCGTTTTGTCACTGGCACGTTGTCTTTTAACCATGTAATCTCTGGCCGTGGGGAGGCCTATTTAAAAAACAAAACAAAAAATAAAACAAGGCTGATCATACATACCCTTGCAAATTCATTTATTATCTTGAACTTTTTCCCTCTTGTCATATTAAAACCAAAAACTTAAACACATTTATGACGTTTTTATGAAACAGAACAACAAAAATTGAGAAAAAAAAAAACGTCTTTTTTCCTATTTCGTTTCTACAGTTTAAAATCTGATATCTGATGTGGCATGCATTTGTAATTAGCCCCATTAACTGTTATACAATGTCAATGTCAAAGTCAAAGAACACAACAGATAAGATTTTTGGAGAACTTTAAAGCAGCAGTAGATTATAAACAATATCCAACACTTTGGGTATCAGATGACTTTTCTATTCGCCATCCAGAGAGAAATACTGGACAAGCATAAAGCAAAGACATGGAATGGCTGTAAACCTGGACTGGCTTGCTGGGATAAAGAAGCAGCTTAAAGGCAAATTGTAACGTTAGAGGGCCTGCTGTGATACACCTCTCATGTATGAAAGTCTGTGTACAGGGAAAGTTCTAGTCTTGCATTCCACAAAAGAAGTTAGCCACTTCTCCAGTGATTTCCAATTTTGCTCCTCAAACACTCTTGTCCTGAATGTTTTAGGTGCCATCTTGCTTCTATAAACCTGACTTATATGAATGAGTCAGATGAATGGCAGGTATATAAACGGGCTTCTTTACCACTTGAAGGGCGCTGGGGTGCTAAGGCAATATTTTGAATCAGGTTTGTTGGAAAAGGAACTCATCGGAAAAATTAGGTAGTTGTAAATTTGAGGACCAGATTTTGAAATATTAATTTAATTGATGGAACAAACATTTTCTGTTTTAGCATTTACAGAAACACTGCAATCACCCTGATAATATCACACCAACAGCGAAAGATAGTAGAACATCTAAAGAAGAATTATATTTTTAAATCTCCAATTACAAACGGCTAACTGTTATAATAGTTCTGATACAGCTAAATAGCTGAACAGATGTAAAAATTATGGGAAATTAAAGCTAACAGAAAGCCCATAAGATGGTTGTCACTCTGTCTGCATCACATATCTTCAGACTCACACATGTGATTTTAATTCAGAATAACTCAGTGAGTAAAAATTTTTATTTTTTACAGAACTGGAAGCAATCCAGGATATTGTATCTCTCTGTGCACAATATCTTAAAAAAACATAGTATTAGTTTGTGATGTAAGCCAGTAGGAATACAGCACAGTGTTTCTTTTTTAATTCAGTTCAATGTATCCATATTGTGCCAAATCAAAACATGTGTGAGAAAAAGCATTTTAAAGAGACAATTCTATTAAGGCATCAGCCCTGCTAAAACCTCATAGAATACTTTAAAGTTTTTGGTTGTAACATGAAACAATAAATAAAGTAAATTTTATTAAAAAAATAAAAAAAAATCCTTACCAATGACTAGAGTAAATCTTACCTCAAAGCTTACTGTTATTCGTACAGAGTTCCCTGCCCTCACAACCATGAAACTCTTCATCTTGTTGTTTGTGAACCTTGGCCTTACTTTATTAGGGACAACAAAATCGGTTTTAGTTTAATTCAAGGTAAACATGGAAGGCTAGATTTAAGTGCATCATAACAGTAAAATGTAAAGTTATAATTATTTGATGACATACCAGGCAAAGGCATTGCAAGAATATAATTTGGCAGCTCCTCGGGTATGCTTTCTCCCCCATCATTTACTGCAATGACTCTCACCCAGTACATTTCCATAGACCTAAGGCCTTTCACATTAAATGAAGTCATAATAATAGGGGTGCTGTTACAACGGGACCATTCAATGCGATCTGCCTGACGAATCTCCACAAAATATCCTTTAGCTTCATCCTGTATGCCTGGTTTATCCTCAGGTTTGGTCCAAGTCACAACCATGTTGGTGTAAGATGTTTCTGTCACCTTCAGGCCTATAACTTTACCAGGAGGCTCTATACGAATACAAAAAAATGTTTTAATTAATACAGGCTTATTATGATCAGTAACTTCAACAATAATTTCTCACCATACATATTTTTTAACAAAATATTTGTAATACGTACTTTTAGGGTCCCGCGCAAAAACAAATTCTGATGCGTTGCTAAATTCACCAGCTCCTGAGAGGTTTATGGCACAAACTCTGAACTCATATGCCATACCTTCCACAACATCCCTCACTGCATACTTTTTCTCTACAAGCCATTTAAAGCACACACAAAAAAAACAAATACAAATGTACTTATATTCTCATGCTATTTGCATATACTGTAAGTAGGTATCCATACAGCAAATACCTTTTATTATCTCATCTGGTGCATTCACAACAGTCCAAAGATTACTTCCTTGTTTGCGTTTTTCTAAAATATAGCCCAAAAGACGTGACCCTCCAGTAATAGCTGGTGAAGACCAGGAAAGTTTGATACATTCATTAAATGCACTGACCACCTTTGGGGGAGCTGGAGGGCCTGGAAAAGCTGAACAATGCAAAACAAAAAATATTTCCCTTCATGTTACTCAATCCACATTTATTCATAATAGAAACTTGCAAAATTAGCTATATCTAACTCTGGATTCATCTCTTAAATTTAGTTTCTGATTTTTTTTTTTTTTTTTTTACAAATAAACACATTCCACAAATTGTTCTAACATTGTTTTAGCTTACCAACTCTGCCAGCTTGCATTTCGTCAGTTTCCATCACTTCACTTATTCCCTCTGAAGTTACTGCCCAGATGCGGTAACAGTACTTCCGTCCACGATCAACATCTGTGTCCCGGTAGATGGGCACGCCTGGGATTTCACCAATTTTCTTCCAGGTGTTTCGTCCCACTTGCTGACGCTCCAGTATATAGTTAGTCACAGGTGACCCGCCGTCATCCTTTGGAGGCCGCCACTTAAATTCAATGCATGATGCTGAACTCTCAGTGACCTCTGCTGGACCCATGGGGGCGGATGGCTTGTCTAAAACATTAAATACTTTATGAAGCTTGAAGTATATTGACTAGTTACAATGGTATTTTTTTTATAATGGTATAAAAAAAATCTAGTGTTTTTCGTAGCCACATCCACACTTTCATCTCTATATTTATCTAAATATATATTCAGAATTTAAGGAAACAGTGTCATATGTTTACTCCAAGAAGTACCAGAATCTAGTATTAATCTAGTTTTTTAAACTAAAACTTTGGTCCAGTTAGAATTTTAGAAATCTTACTTTCAACTTTTTGACTGATTAAAACAAAGGCCCTTTTTAATAGCTTGTCCAGATCATCTTTAAATGGCTTCTATTTAGAAGAAAACATGTTTTTTAGTTCTATATTGTTTTATTGGAGTTTTATTAATACCTTAATATGTATTTAGACATAAATACCTTAATTATTGTTCTTTTTTATAATTTTTTTTTTTTCATAATGCATCTCTTTTTCTTAATAAGAATATACCATGATTATGCTTTAACTTTTATTAGTAAGGTGATAGTTAGGATTTAGTAATAATTTAGCGGCCTAAAAAGGTGGGGTTGAGATGGGTCTTAAATATGTCCATCGCACTTACAATATATTTTTTAAGCAAATCTTATGAGTTGTTTTTTTCAGTCAAAGCAGCCTTTCACTTAATGCTGTAAGATTTGTGTTTTTGTTTTGTAAGGGGATAGACTTAAATACAACCTTTACTACTAGCTGTGTGATTTTTGATACCATTATGTTTATTGCTTTCTGCATTGTTGTAAGTTACTCACCAAGAACAATAAGCTGTGATACTGCTTCCGTAAAGCCGTGGTCGTTCCTTATCTTTATCTTGATCTCTCCAGTGTCCCTTCTCTGGCATCTAATAAGGAGCAAGCGACTGTGACTTGCAGATTTTTCAATTCTTACACTGTTGTCATCTTGCAGCTCATCGCCGTCTCTGTACCACTGAACTTTAATAGGTTTGTGGCCAATGAACTGCAGTTTGAAGATGGCGTTGTGTCCCACTTTAAGTGTCAAAGGCCTGGTGAAGGCACTGAGGTCTTCTGGGTCAAACCTCGGAGGATCTAAAAATATCAGTCCTATTAGATTGATTTCAGAGTTTTGACATTATTATTTTTTTTATTGACAATCAATCAAACCTCTGATGTTAATCATTGCCTCTGTCTTACGACCATCTGCTTCAAAGCGATATTTCCCAGAGTGCTCCACACTGCACTGCATTATTACTAATTTATGGATGGATCCATTCATAGTGATAGAAATATTATCATCTGGGTATATCTGTTAAGATTAAAACCAAAAAGATAAAATATCTCAAACATAGCAATTGAAAGTTATTAAAGCGAGAAACACTGCAATGTCAAATGTGCTACTATTCTAAAGCATTTAGAAGGAAAAACCTTTTTCCCATCTCTAAACCAGACTCCTTCACAGTCATCACGGCTGAGCTTGCATGTTAACTCAGCACTCTCATGGATAATTGCATCGATATCTGACAAACCCTGGATGAAGTGAACGCCTGGATCTAGGGAAATCAAGAAAAAGCCAAAAGTTTAGCTTAGTTATACTGTACATTTCATAACAAGAAAATTCAATCATATTTTCATTTAAATTTCTTTAAAGCCATTCGCCAACCATACATAACATCATCATTAGTACTGACTGGTTAAGTGCATATATGTAAAAGTACAGTGGAGGTTTTCGCGAATATCTGAAATGACCCACCCTCTTCATTTAAAAAGAAGAGTTGCATATGCACATTCCTGTACCCAAGAGGGCCCGCCTATTGAACACGTGTGCAAGAACGCACAAGCCCATTTTTCCTCTTGAACGCTCTGCTTAAAAGTTACTGTTTGCATGGTTCACACAAGCTTACTTTCCAAAAGAATATGTGAAATTTTTCCACTATGTCAGACTTACCACCGATAAGTGAAAATGGGGACGAGCACGTAGCACGGCATTGTGTAAACATACTACCAGAACGATATCAATTAGGGGGATCACTTATTTTGATGATCCATCAGAAAAAAAGAGTATCCTCCACTATGACTTCAACATTACACCTCTTACATGGTGGGACATTTATCATCTGGTGAAGTGGGTATCTATAAAGTAGGCAAACTGAAATGACTAGTAGGTACAGCTAACAAGAGCTACTCTGCATTGGTCAGTATAAGGCTATATGACTTAAATAAACAAGCATAACATTTGTATATATCTTTGCTTCACATTCATTGCAAACATAGACCCCAGATGGTACAGATTTTTTTTTTCCTGAAACTTTAAAAAACAAAAACTACAGTTTGATTATTTGTAACTGCTTATATGTGCTGCATCGTTTTTTCTACTGCTCTTTGTGTAATGTATGTTTTTCTTTGTCAGAGAGTATGGATTATAATACATTCTGAGGAATAGAAACTAGTATATATGTTGTTCTTTGAGATCAGTGCTCCTTTAAATAGTCTCCCCTTTATTTCAAGGCAATCAACAGTATACAATATGGATATTTCAGGAAAAAATATTTCCATTCAATGAAAGTTGTCTTTTAACTCACAGCACATAAAATATCTAAAATATTCCAATGTCATAACACCTTTAAGTGTAAAGTGGAGTCATTACATAAAGGTCTTGTGGAGTCTTCAATTTGTTCATCCATGTACGGTAAAAAAGGGTATATGACCACACATTGTAAGATTCATGTAAATCTATTACATTGCAAATTCCCATTTTTAGATAATTTTAACACACACCTGTTAAATAAACCTTACCATATTAGTTTATATGACAAAGCTTATTTATTTGAAATAAATAATTATCAGGTTTATGTATTAAGTATTAATAAAGTAAACTTACTCAAAATTAATACAAATTAGTGTATTTATTTCAAATACATTGCAATTATTCTTTGAATTGAATAAAATGAACCAGAATATTATGCAATTTAACCAAAATAAACTTTATGAATTTGAAATAAATACACTCATTAGTATTCATTTGATCAGGGATCACTTATTAATTAAAAAACATAAATCTGCCCTTTACGTAATTTACTTATAAAAGCCATATTAAATTAATGAATGGGGATCATGGAAGGTTTGTTTAATAGGTTTGTGTTGAAATTATAAATGAGGAATTTGTATGTAAAAAATTTACACAATTCTTAAAATTGTGTTGAAATATATCTGTGACTGTAGCAATCTTTAAAATCGCTCTACAGTAAGGAAATTTTAATTACATTTGGTGGTAATGTTATTAAATAACTAACCTCAGTGTAAAAGATGAATGAACCACAGTTGAAAGTTGGCTGATAAATGCTCCCTAAGAAAAATCCAGTATTATAGAAACATAATTTGCTGTAACTAAATGATTACTCACCAATCAGGGAATCTGTAATCAGAGGGACTTGTCTTTTACGTCGTGGGTGGTTGAAAGCGCTGCTCATGTTTTCATCCTCTTCACATTCACCATGGTCTTCAGAAAACACAAACTTCCCTTTTGAATACAAAAATATATATTATTGTCATGGTTTTTAATCTATTCAAGCAGTTGCATCTTAAAGTCGCCATGATGTAGCTCCACATATCTGCCAACAACGGTGGGTAGAATTTAAGTATCATAATTCTAACTGAACTAAAATCCTTCCTTCTGTTTTAATGTTTCATTTTTTAACCCACTGCAGTAATTTGAGGTATAGTAAATAGACGGTAAAAAGTAGATATTGCTACTGGAGGTACATTGCTCTCTCCTTACACTCTCCTCTGCCTCAAAACTGCCAAATATCTTGTCTTAATGTGAATAAACCTGGGCAATTAAATTATTTGTTTACTCATTAAATATTGAGAGATATTGAGGTGTGTAGTACTGCTCTGACCATATAATCTCTAATGTTGCCTTTAATCAAAACAACAATTTCATGCAGTATTAGGAATTTATGATATAATACCATTGACAGAATTTTTCTCTGTTGTGATTTCCTTTAAAACGTGTTGCCGTTTTCCTTGGTCAGCAGAGCCTTCGTTCTCATTAGTGTTATTTAGTTCATCACCACTTTGTTGTCCATTATCTGTGAGAAAGATAGTATTCTTAAAATATTTTGAAAATGCAAAAGAATTGCAGTTCTGCTTGATTGCAAAATATGCCCAACAATCATTTGTAAATAAACTGTGAAATTGACTGGGATAATGACCTTTTACAAGAATGGAAGCTAAAAGTTTTATTTGCTATCTAAGATGAAATTGCTTCTAAAGTTTTTCCTTACTCCTTTGATAGTTTATTTTCCTTGCAAACATTCACTTGTGTTTTTCTTTTATTGCAATGTAAGTCAGTAAGTCAGTTTTACTGCAAAGTTGAGAATGAAACATCTCTAGTGGAACTGTACAGAGTTCAATAGGCATTAAATCTGAAGCTTATGGAGAATTGTTTGATTACCATCAGGTGGAATTTTGACAGCTGTTGCAACACTACTGTATGGCAGCTCATAACCCTTTTCAAATCGTAGTTTTGTTATTTTAAATTACAGACGATTTTATAAGATCAGAATCCATTTGATACCTGATGTCGCTTCTTTCCAGTGGACATTCTTTGTTTTCCTCTGAGTTCTTGCTTCCTTATCCAAACTACTTTTTCCTCTGAATTGACTCTGTTGTTCGACATCATCACATTGATCTATATAATTTGCAGACAAACACAAACCCATAGTATATTTCTGAATATAAAAATAAACAATGGAGAGAACAAAGTTGAACTATTTTCACATGTCATTAAGGGAGCAGTTTTACTTTCTCTGAGATGTTTGTCACCGATTACTTCACTCTCTGCCTCTTGATCTTGTTGAGGTTCCCCTTTATTAGAATCTAGCAATAATTAAATATGAGAGACAGCTTAGCTCTGAAATCAGTGCTATTAAAGTTATAGTTACTGATACTCCAAAATGAAAGGCTCTTTTTTTATGCAGATAAAAAAAAGAAGAAACAAAATGTTTCTGAAACCCTTTCTCAGTAATTTAAATGAATATATAGAGTAAATGGTCTAACTTTAAACATCAGATAGCTAAATATTCATGAATTAAATAATTTTAAAAACTCAATAGGTTAAGGAAGTTGATTTAAAACAAACCTGACCTGTTTCTGTGTTAGAACCGACTTGATCTTTGTGGTGTATTTTCTTGATTAGATTATCATCTCTCACTTTTTCTTCTACTTCTGTCATACCATAATCGGTAGAGGTTGTTATGGTGGCACCTCTGGTGTTTTTTCTCTCTTTGAATAGAAAAAAACCCAAATTATCTTAACTGTCTAAAAGCTAAAAATGTGTAACAGTTCACAGTTTAGCAAAGAGGGAAAAAAGCAACAATTATTTGTTTTAGCCTAAAGATCCTTTGTAACACTCATTTTAGCCAGCTGTGGAACTGGATTTATAGGATCTTACCTGTCATTGTATTGAAACCAACTTGACCACTCTGTTCTTTCTTTATTAGGTCCCCTTCTCTCAGTTGCTCTCCTGTCTCTATCACATCAAAATCTCCAAATGTTGATTCAGCATCATCTTTGGTATTTTTCCTTTCTTTAAAAATAAGGAAAAAAAAACAACATCTATATTAAAGAATTTAATAGCTAAATATCAATGAATTGATTCCAGCAAAGTGGAAAAATCTTCAACAACATCTATAATAATAACATTCATTTTTAGCAGATTGGGGAACTAGAGTTGTTGTGTCAAATATAGCCTTTACCTGGAATTATGTTACAAACAACTTGATCTTTGTTGTGGAATTTCTTCTTTAGGTCGCCTGTTCTGAGTGGTTGTTCTGCTCCTGTTTCATGCCCAGAATACTCCATTGCTGTTAAAGTGTTATCTTTTGAGTTAGCCTTCTGCGTTTTACCAGTTTTTTCACTTTCACCACGGTGCCCAACATGGGGTAAAATATCCTCTCTCAGTTTTTCTGTTTCTGAGTATTTTCCTTTCACAGCTTTTAAAATCTTCTCCATTTCCTCTTGAATTTTCATCTGCTGTTCTTTAGCCACTTTTTCCAAGTCGCTCTGAGCTCCAGCAGCTTTTGCGGTTTTATGGATTAATTTCGTACCACCATCTGCAGGGTTGTGCTGATCTTCAAGCATATGAGGCACAACAACAACAAAAAATACATCTTTTTAACAATTGCTTACCCCAGCACTGTGGCTTTTATTATATAATTATAGCATACCTTCCACCACCAGCCATGCACTACAGGATATAATTCCTGCAATAGCAGAATAGATTCCCTTGTCCAGTTTAGTGCAGTTCCTGATGAGGAGCCGATGAATGAGCTTGTTGTCAGATACAGTTATACTGTATTTCTCCCCATCTTCCAGAACAATGCCTTTTTTTATCCAAGTGATTTTGGGTAGAGGGTGCGTTAGCACACACTCGAAGAGAGCATCATCATTTTCTTCAGCTTTAATCTCTTGAATTTTTATCATAAAATCCACATTGGACACTAGAAGGCAAATGGCACATACAAAAGATGATAACCCCTTTTATTAAAAGTGTTACGCGTAATACCTACAATTATTGGTATACTTTCAATATGACTGCGTAAAGAAAACAGAAAGTGCAATTTTTAAAGAGGTCTTAAACCGAATTTAATTTGTAACTTACATTTGAACCCTGTAAGTAAAATGTCTTTTTTAGGACTGGCGTGATTTAGCTGTGTGTTGTGGCGGTTAGCCTCCTCAGGGTCACCTATATATATTCCTGTGTCACTTTGTACCAGGCCTTCAATTTTGATGCAGCTTTTCGTCCCAAAACTCTGATTACACTGTTCTTCTGGAACACTGTCCCAGGAATTCATAATATCCTGCAACAGAGGCACAGAGGATTTTGCCAAATATTTGAGCTAAAATCCCAACTTCAGTCAAGCAAATACTTCTGTGAAGCATGTGTTCTGACTTAAAAGAAAAAAAAAAACATTATGAATGGGACAGCAGTCAGAGAAACGCTGCCATGGATTTGGATAGTACTGATTCAATGGTCACACCGATGTTAAATTGCATTTTGAAATATTATTACAGCTTCAACATTTTTAATGCAAAATTATGATAAATGAAATAATACATTGAAACTAACTAAAAATATATATTAAAAAGGTTGTCAAAAATTTATATAATTTCAAATGTTTAAAAATAGGTTTTACCAGAATTTGTTAAATTAATTAAAATAATTATGGTAAGTTGGATACTGTTTTATAGTTCGGAGTTACAGAAAGGAACACAGATTGTCCACAAATCATAAATAGAAACAGATGGTGTAAAGGGGCGTGTCTTTCTTGCTTTTAATAAACCTACACGCTCTGCTGCAGTAGTGAGCCTTTTAGATCTCTTCCAGGGGGAGAGCACTGATTTTCTTTTATGTGCTAACCACTCACTAGGGAGCTACTCTGTCAACCATTGATACAGTATATGCTGTTCTTTGGTTGTGTCTGGGAACCAAATTACATCCAAATCGGGTCATCTCTTCTGGTGCTTAACTTGCGTCCTGTGTGAGTTTAATTGAAAGTCGGCAGCTGTGACGGCATAAAGAAGCTTGCATGTAAAGCACCAAAGTTATATTTTTTAAGCAGTGTGATTATAACAGTAAGCTCATTTTAAACAAAGTTTTACTGTTACTTATGTTGTTACATGTTACTGAATGAATACATTTCTAAAAGAAAAATGTGGGAAGGAAAATATCAGCTTGCATACCTTCTGTTTGTCTTTTTCCTTCTTTTTCCTCTTCTCTTCAAGCTTCTTCAGGATCATGTTTAAATCCACAACACCGTATTCAGAACAGATGCTTTCATAGTCTCTTTTATCTGCATTTAGCATTACATCCCAGAAAGTTTCATCATTCTCACCACCTGGTGTCTGTGCTTTACTGTAATATTGGGCAAATACTAAATGTCATGTATTATAATAAATGCGCTTTATAATACCATTTCAGACCAAACATGCTTGTATTGAGTTGCTTGGGATGCTTACCTTTTCTTTAGCAGTTTTCTGAAATCTTCAGGATTTGTTGAGACTATAATGAAAAAGAACTACTGCTTGTCACTTTTTTACACTGTGTATTATAAAGTATTTCATCTTCTACTGTACAAAATGTAAAGTTTTTACTTTTATTACCACACTGATTATTTCAAATCATCACACAACCTTTAATATCAGAAATAGATATTAAATATATATATATTTTTTCAAATTTATATTTTTGATATGAGTTAACCGTGGGTAAAAACATTTCTACTGAGTGTCATTTCCCTATTCACACACTGGGTAGATTCCTGCCCTCTGGTACTGTATAGAGAGAAATTTACATAAATGAAAACCGTCAGGCAGAATAAAGTAGGCTAAAAATTGCGCACCTCATGTCTTGATGTAAATAAAATAAAAAATAAAAAAATGTGATATATAAATTTACTGATGAGTATTTGCTTAGAAAGGGTGTACATTAAACTGAAAGTAACATGTTTTGTAACTATGGTGATACTTTGAGAACTGTTTGTCTTCTCTAATTATTCTAGGAGCTCACCGATGGCTCGTCCAGGACAGGGTTCCCAATCATTGCAGCCCGTAACTCCAAAAAGGACAATGCAACATACTAGTGATCCCATAAAAATATTAAGATTACTTTAGTCTATATTTACTCATACATATAAAATAAAGCAGTTACATTAATTTTTAATAAATATTGAAATGTATTTTTTAACTATTTACTTTATAATTTACTTTATTTACTGATTACATATTTTACAATGTAGCTGTATATTTACAACTTAAAAACAAGTATTAAAATTCATAAATAATTGTTAGATCTACTTCTTTCATAGTAAATTTCTTTCATGGGACATCCTAAATGTACCTTAGGGATTACATCACATTCACAATGATAATGAAAACCATCTCTTGAACCCCCTTTTGGTTTCTTGTGACCCAAGCAGGAGTCCCAACCCATATTGGGGATGATCTGTTCAAGGAGGTCATGAAAGAACCAATTATAGGCCTCATTTGGCTAAGTTAAACCAATCGTGATTAACTTTAACCGCTAATAGGGCTAGATCTGTAACTTCTAGGATTAGGACCCCTAAGAGAACTGGAAATTCTGCACTCTCACAACATTAAGTGGTCTAACTATTTTTTATTTATTTTTTATTTTTTTTTATCAATTGTGTAGACCCTCCACTATGACTTAATCATGCAAAAGAAAACTTTTTCGTGGGAATGTCAAAGACTAATTGTGATCTGTGCACCAAGACACTACAAGAAGTATATAGTTTTAAGAGCCAAATGGTCTTAATATATTTAGCTTGGATAACTTTTAAATTGATTACATTGCAAAACTCTACATAAAACAACTAATTGAATACTGCTTTTTTGCTTAGTCAGATTATCTTTGTCTGGATTTTAGACAAAGATTTAGACAAAGATAATATTTTGGTGTTTTTCATGAACCAAAATGGGAGATAAATAATATCTCACATAACTGTTGGTGAATTAACAGATATTCAAGCAGTTTTTTTAGCTGTATGGTGAATAACTTTTGTTTTGGGGCTTGATTGGTAAGATAGCAAAAGAGAAATTAATTACTGTCTTGTAAATGATTTGTTACCCTTCTCAAGTATTTTGTACAGTCATACAGGATATAATACTTTGGCTCATGCCTAAAGATATTCATACTGTAGTTATTCTGTTTATACAGTAGTGCAAATGTATATATATATATATATATATATATATATATATATATATATATATATATATATATATATATATATATATATATATATATATATATATACACTTAATTGCCCACATAAAGCAGTTTACAATTAAGAATATAATCTTGAATAGTTCTTACCATCAAACACGTTTAACGTTGTGGTGCAGACAGCTTTGCCGCATTCATTCACAGCATAACATTTGTACGTATCGGCCTCCACTGCAGATACTTTGTGAATCTGAAAATGCATATTCCTACTTTAGAGCTTTTTTTTTAGTATTTTATCAAAGTGTGCATTCCAAAAAAAATTCAGCTGCTTACCTCTAATATGTGTTCCCCTGTTGATTCATCATATCTCCTTTGGAACCTCTCCTTGTCTGCTAAAGGTCCTTTAGCTCTTCTCCATGAAACCTCTGGCTTCGGCTCCCCTGTCACCACAGCCTTGAAAACAGCTAATTCTCCTAATGGAAATTTTAGGAGAATATTTTATTGTTCTGGTTTAAATACAACTGTGTTTTAGGTCATAATAGGGTATTAATACAAGACATTAATTCATATATGTTGTAGTTCTTTTTTATTTTGTTGGAATGTCTTTGTTAGATGTGAATGAAAAGCAGCTTAAAGACATTTATTTAATTGTTTTTTATTAAATTAAAAAACAAACCTTCCTTGACCGTAACTGGCATGGGTTTACAGCGGAAGTCTGGGGTGCTTTTACCCTCAGGCAAAGTTGATGTATACTGTGTGATCATCACCCCTGGGGTCTTGGATCTTCTGCGGATTACAGCTAAGTGGAGTTAAGAGAATATTAAGAGAATTATTTAATCAATAATCGTCTCTTTGTCTCCTTCATTTTCATATGAACAGACCAATTGTGCTTTCTTATTTGCTTTGCTTCTGCTTTGGCAGCAAATGGGAGATCTGGGAACAGAGTTTGCATTTACTGCCAGTAGATGGCAGAAGACATGTTACTAATGACTGCGTCCACTGAATATTGTACAATTCAGTAGTAGTTGTACTTACACATTTATTGCAACAATAAAATTAAATGTATTTTATAATGAAAAATTAAGCATGATATTAAAATTCTATTCTAAAAGACTTCCAACCTGTAAAGATTTATTCTTTTTAGTTTTCCCAAGGCCACAATCTATCCTATTTGTGAGGCAGCAAGAAGAAATAGTATTGCTAATCTATTCAGTCAGCAAAATTCTTACAATCAGAATCACTTTGTCAGCATTGCTTTTACAGTATTGACACCCTAGACCAAACTTGAAAAAAAGTAAAAACATAAAGAATTTGGATTTTCACGTGTACAGGACTGGGGATTTATGTATAGGTGATATGTTTTACATTAAGTGAGTGTTGTAAACATCTGTTAGAGGATATAGACTTATCAGATCTTTCCTTGTCATAAAAAACAACAGCGGATTGGAGATGGCAAGAGAAATAAATATATATATTTACTCTTTCATATCACTACTTCGACACTTAAAAAAATAGGTGTTTGGCCTAGAGGTCAGAGCAGTGCTCTTTTGCTCTGAGAAGGTTGCAAGTACCCGGTTTGATCCCTACAGCCTGCTTTCTTGGTCTCTAAGCAAGACCCTTAACCTTCCCTGGGCGCCATACAATGGCAGCCCAGTGCTCCCTAAGGGGATGGGTTAAATGCAGAGAGTTAATATCTCCATTGTGAGATCAATACATTTTAATTTCTATCATTGCTCTCTATAAGAAGCATTGAATTTTGTACAATTATTGTGCGTCAAAATGTTAGTTTATTAAAACCAAGATTATAAGCATGCAACATTTAAGAGATAATTCATCTTACCTGACTTATTGCCAGACACCTCATTAAAACGCTGAATGTACTGATGAACTATGGAGAAACCTGAATTAAATAAACAAAAAATAAATAACTATAGACCACATCATATCATCACAATTGTGTGGTAACACGCTGTTTTTGTTCGACATCACTTTTTCTGTAATCTGTGTGTTTGTTTGAACACATGGCAGTGTCAAAGCAGTCTCTTTGCAAACTTTATTTGACACTATTTCCATGGTTCCTTGCATTTGGCAGTGTGTGTTGGAGATTCATTGGAAGAAACTGGGAGAATTTTACATGAATTAAAGGGAAATACTCTACATGATGGTCTGGTGGCTAACTGGCCTGACTTCTTCCCCCTTGCCCACATCTTGGGAAAAGTTGTAAAAAGCAAGAGTTGATCTGTAAACAGAAAGAGATATGTGTTATTAGACATAATAAAAATAGAGATAAGTCAAGTGATGAAAAAATAAAATAAAATTAAGGCAATAAGAGTTGAGGTTTAGGTTATAATCTTTACTTTGCTTATTATTCCAAATCTCACTTTTCTGTTTGATTGTTAACTGCTATATTTGCTCATAATTATATACAAAGTATTTACACTGCAGCGCATTACTACAGCAACAAAGTACCCTCTTTACTTTTTAAAGAGAATTTGGACATATTTTAAATCATCTTCTAAAGTGCTGACTCTCCAGTCCATAGTTGCACAAAGAGTTTTGCAGCAGAGTGCCTTAGATGAAAGTTTACCTGGTGTCTCTGCTTCATTGAGCCTTTCAACAATCTAAGATTTATGAAAGTAAAAATCCATATCCCCTTGCACCTCAACCATTTCTCTGGAACATCCATGACCTAACTGTGTATTGATAGATTGATGCAATCTCCATTGTGCTGAAAAGGAAAAGAACGGCGCTTTTTTGCCATTATCCTCATCCACTTCATACTTCTCTACTTTTAGGATTTTGACTTTCCTAAACTAACCTTTATGTGAGTCCCAATTAGGGCTGAAACAATTTATCGGATTAATTGTGATTAAACGATTATTGAAATAATCATCATCTAATTTAGTAATCTATTAATCGTTAACTGGAGTATAGAGACTGTAAGATAAGCTTTTAGCTGACAAATCAACCCATTTAGCACAGCAGTAATTTCAAAATTGTAAAAGAATATGTAAACATATGCTCTATCCAGAACTCCTCAAGTGGAAATGTTTTAGTCTCACCTGGTTTAATTTTGTTAAAAATTTTCTTTATGGAACTTTGGCTATCTGATTATTACTCAATTAATTGAAAAAGTAATTGAGAGAATAATTGATTTGCTAAATAAACGTTAGTTGCAGCCCTATTCCCTATCAATTAGGATGCATGATAGTGACCGATAAAATAATAATATAATATAATATAATAATAATATCTGTTGCAATAAAATGACATTATTTCTTGCTTTAAAATCTCTCTGTGACCTCTCTCACTTTGAGCACTGAGTAATATATGCCATGTTTGTTCATATGCTGCAGTAAGACTCCCACTAAACAGACTGAAACTACTATTGGGATGCCAATTTAAACTCATTGAACTCACCGTATCATTCCCAACAAATACTGCACTACAAAGAGTTAAATAGGTCAATTTAGAATCTGTTTGTGTTGCTTTTTTTATTTAAAAAGATGAAGTTAACCTGTTGGTGTATTGTTCTGCAGTATGTGTATACTTTTTTGTTTTGTTTGTTTCTGATATAATTTATCTGAATCTTACTTGTAGGAATTACATGGTAGACTTAACTTTACAAGGAAATATCTGATTTAGCAAGTGACAAAAAAAAATGTTCACACTATGAGTCTTGTGAGTTTATACAAAATATTAATGCGGAAAATAATCTAATCTAACAGCAGATCAGAAAATAACTTTTAGAGTACTCTGGTTTTGGAATTACTTGTCATTTTCATTAGTTGGTTGATATATTGAAGTACTTAGTAATATGAGTAAATTAAATAATTACAGAATATATATTCTCATTTTAGTACTTTTTTATTTTTTATTTTTTAGATCTTTCTATATTTAACTGAACAGGGTGAAATAGCCAAAGTCTATTTTTAAGAAAAAAATGTATAATTCTTGAGCCATGCATTGAGTAAAGCTTATCAATGTCTTTAATGTGATCCTCTCAGATATAAGAATACCTAAGTCATATATACAAAGAAAAGAGTTGCTCACCTGTCTTCAGTTGTGTTCTAACACCGTCAACCGGTTGATTGTTGTGTTGTAAATGTCCTCCCTCTTATTGAATGTTTGACTAAATGACAAAAGGACTGGTAGATGTTTTTTGGACTGGCTGCTTGGAAGCATCCACTCTGTTTGACTGTTCAAAACTGAGCATGGTTGGGTTATATTATGATGGGTGATGTGGGTGAGGGTTGGGGTGAGACTGAATAAGGGGGGTCTTGGGGTGGGAAAAATGATTACCATGTGGAAAAGTGTGTGTCTGTGTGTGTGTGTGTGTGGGTGGGGGGTGCTATATGTCCTGTAGTAATTATTGAAAGACCTGATCATTTAGAGGACAGCTGCAATTCTTTTACTGATTATTTTAGATTTAACTAAATGCATGTTTGTGACAAAGTCACTCCAAGGTTGTTCATGTCCACAAGTTTTGTTAAACTAAACTAGTGGTTTTAACCAGTTTTTACTAAATGGTTTAAAGGCATCAAAAATTGCTTGTCATTTTGAAAAAAAATCAAATGTGTCCATATGTTGTTATTTCAAATCTAGAGCATGTAGGTGTGGCAAATATACAGAAATGATCACAGAGCAGTGGGTTCACCCTAATTTTTCTTCAAAATAAAATAAAAACTGCTGAAGGTCTGGACTTTAAAGCTTAATAGTAACTTTTACTGTATAGTGGAGTTCAACTTTTGGACATTATAAATATGCTTGCTTATTTTATTCAACTTCACAGTTGCCTGGATACCATGGGGTATCACATGTTGCTAACAAGGCACTAATCCATTTGTCTGCAGTGTGCTTCTAAAGTTACGATACATTACATAATCAAGGTTGTGGCATTTCTGTGGTACAGGCTCTTCCTGTAAAGTCTTTGATGCTGTTTTGTTTTTGGAAAGGGACAATCAAAGGAAGAACCAGGAGATATTGATCAAGGTCAGGCATCAGAATTTTGAAGTATTTTCACATTAGGATTCAAAGTGATTATGATTGCTTTAACGTGTGAACAAGGCACCATTCAAAGTCATGCTAAAAGGAACTGAACCTTTCCTATTATAAGGCATTTTTAATCAAAGCATGGTGAAGCTATATTGTCATAACACTTTCAAAGGGAGGCAGATTTTTGTTTTACATTAAAGAGTAATAGGGTGTGGAGATTACCGACTTTTAAAAGAGTTTACATAAAGTAAGTCTTCTTTAAGATGTTATAAGGTTCTTCAATGTTAAGGATTCCCTTTGAGCCATTTCTGTTACAATGCTGCTCTAATTCAGGTTTGATTTAGGGCCTTTACCTATGTGCAACACTGCCAAGTGCCTATAAGACTATATAAGATGACCCAAATATATTCCAAATCAGTAGGTGATATACATAGGTGGCTAAATTAAACACCCTATGTTTTGACAGTTGCCTAAGTTCTTCGTTTGATGTAACATTGTTTAACTCCTGTTATGTTCTCTCCATGGAAACTTCTTATTTAGACACATAAGCAGCTTGTCTCCATAGATCGGAAGGCTTCTAATGAGTACCAAAATGTATCAGCTCAGTTTGGAGAAAGTCCTGCTTTTGTCCTTGACTTGGACATTTACATCAATCGTCCCCTGAATTTGACAGGAATGGATAAATTTGAACAGGTTAATTATCATTTGAACAAAAAATATTTCTAATTTATGCGTCTTCAGAACAGATTAAAGATTGTTAGAAAGACATTACAGTTGAGTTTCTTGTAAAGCTCATCGAGAGAATACCAAAAGTGTGAAAAGAAGAGATGAAAATAACAGAAGAATCAAAATATATTTTCATTATTGCATGTTTCCTTTATTTGCAAACTAACTCCCTACAATTAAGCTTCTTCATAATGTTAGTGAAATAATCATGTATCAATAATATACAAAATAATAAAAAGGAAGGAAAGGCAATTAAATCACAAAGGCATGTCCAAATTTTTTGACCAATGTTGGATTAATTCAAAAGTTATATTTCACAACTTGGCATGATACATTGCCAACTTCAATGTGTTTAACTAATTAACACAAGAAAGAACTTAATATAGATTGTTATAAAACGTTTTCTGTATGAAGTCCATCAATTCCAAATGGACAATTTATAGCTCAACTGCAAACCGAAATATGAGTATAGCTTAAGCTGATAGGTTCATGATAATTCTGGACGAATAGCAGATATCCACAGGTTACTTGGTGTAGCTGATAGAACAGTGGAAAGTAGCCCCCAAAGGGCTCTGCTAACATTTTAAAGATCCAGAGGGATATGCACCAAGAGGATCTGAAATGTTGTTTTGATTTGGTTTGAAATTTAGCTGCAAGTTGCACAACTAAAATGAAACTTTATGTCTACAAGCAAAGCACAATGTTTGATGGAAAAAGGCCCACTTCACCTTGAACTGAACACACATCCAACTCTGAAACGTGATTGATATTGGAGATTATTGTAAGAATGACAGAGCTAAACACAAGGTAATGATGAAAGAAACATGTTGGAGGAAGCAAAACATCTGAGTTCCACCATTCAGTCAAATGACAAAATATGTCTTCACCAATTCATTATCTGGGCCGGAGAACACAGTCCATATACACAGGACTGTATCGTACTTGTCTTTTCTGCCCTGAAAACCATGGAACCTACGAGTACAATCCAAATTGTCCCTGCATCCTGTCATGCTTGTCCTTTCACATCCTGGACCTCAAATTCAAAAGGCTCAATAGACTTTAGAATCAGCCTGAGCTCACATAAACCAGCTGGATTAGGTATTAAACCCCTAAGTCAACCTTCCTTATATTGACAAAATGTCATCCAGCATAGCTTTCATTCCAGTCATGGCCAACCAAAGCAAGCTGCCGCTGAGGTGCTAACTAGACAGCCAGGCTCATCTCTCAGTACTGCAGATGCTCTTCTGGGAAAAAAAAAAAAAAGGAAAAAAAAAAACTGTGAAAGGAGTTTATTCCTTAAGTGTGAAAGCTACTTTGCCACGATGGGGATGAGATTAAAAACAATTTAAATTATATACTAACAACCACAGCCAATGTCTGTTTAATACTTTAACCTTTTAAAATTGCAAACTCATATTAAACATCTGCTTTCCTGATTTCCATAAAATACTGATTAATTCCTGTATTGACTTTTAAAAAGCTGGAGATTGAGGCTACGGAACCACTGCTCCATAAATTCGGATGCATATTTATATCTTTTATCAGTTATGTTAGAAAGTTAAACTTATATAAATAGATTTGTTACATAAAAGACAGCCTATTGCATATTTTTATTTCATCACCTCAAGGGTCACATACTGTATTGAAAGTAGTGTTGTGCTGATGCCATTTTTTGGCCCCAATACCGATACCTGGCTGTGCAGTATTGGCGATACCATGCCGATACCATCTGTTTGAAATTGATGTGTGTGTGTGGGTGTGTGTGTGTGTGTAGAAGAACTGCATACTACTTGGATGTAAGATAATTGCCATCATGGCTTTGTCAAGCAGCTGCCTACCTTTGTGAAACAGGAAAAAGACTAATACAAAGTGAATCCGGTATAACTTTTAAATGCCTATCTGGAATGGGTGATAATAGTTGAATAAACTTTTGGCTATCAAAATAGTATCCATGCCCTATTTGTTGGTACTCGCTGATACCGATACCACCATTTTAGTGCTGGATCGGGGCCCCGTCCGATACTGGTATCGGTATCGGTGCAACACTAATTGAAAGCCAAGACAAAAAACAACCACTGGTTTACTTACAACAGTTTAGGTTGATGATATACCTGGCAAAATAGATTGATAATGTTTACCACTCAGGTTTGAGTCTGCATCATATCAATCTGGGACTGCTGCCACTGAATCTGTTCAGGTAAAGGAGGGTTAAGGCCAATTTATGCTTATGATGCATAGCCTCTGCAACCGTCAAATCTGTCTCCGACCACGCTCCCTGCGCAGAGGTTCTGCAACCATCGTTTCACACCTCAAAAAAAATCCTGACTACGCATCAGGCAGGCGCAAACCCGCGTAGACCTCAAGCAGAAATGTGCTGACTTCAAGCTGCTGTGATTGGTCTTTGGTATGTTTTCCGGCTGTCTGTGTGGTCATCCTTCTAGATTCAGTGCCGGGGCACGCCACTTGTCCATTGTAGGAACAACTTCAATGTTCCTCTTTGATGTCTAACAACTCTAGATCCATGTCTGTGACCATGATATCTTGCAGACCCGCCATTGTTGTTTTGGAAAATAAACACTCCCGCCGGCACCGCTGAAGTTAGTGACCATCTACCAAAGTCCTCACGAGTTCTGGAATAGATTCTCCCTTGCGCTTTGGCGGGAAACTACTGTGCGTACCTAGAAATTCCAGACTGATGGTGCAGAAGCATACCAGCAAAACTGGTTCACGACCAGATCCAAGCAACATTTGATGTGTGCGGTTGCAGAAGTCTAATCTGCACTTTATGCAGCAGAATCTTCCGAGCTGATTAAGCAAAACTATAGTAGGCTACACCAATTTCCAAACAACCAAAGTATTGGTTAAGCAAATCATGGAAAACAAATAAAAAATAGAGGCAGACGGCATGAGAAATCACAATAACTTACACATTTACACTCTTGTTTCTCTTTTAGAAAGGAATTTGTGAATTCTGACAAATTAAATGCAATAGTAGCAGCCACATGTACATCCTTCTAGCAGCCATCCATGGCGGCTCCTGCTTTCATCACGCCTATATATCAAACCTTAAACAATAATACTGTTACGTGACTCGCTGACCTGTTTTGCGTCACACTTTCGTGACTTAAGCTTGGTCGACACTAGATGTGATGTGTTTATGGACTCAAAAATATTAGAATTTAGCTTGTAGGCAAGACTAACTGGTATGCTGAGGATCAATTTAGCTTTTAAAAAGTGGTTGAAATCTTATTTGAGACTCCTAATTTGGCATCAAAATAAAATATTTATTTCCAATTTCTCAGCAGTAATTCAAGATAAACCCACAATTGGGTGGCTGTCCTGTAAACCTAAAACCAGAAACTTGATATTTACATAAGTGTTCATTGAAAATATGTACCAAATCCAACAGACAGTTGCCAGGTCATTTTAACAGCAGTAGAGGTTGTCTGTTAAATATCAGTAAGGTAT